AAAAAATATATATCTATTCAATGACTGCAGTAGGACATGTAGCCCCAGTTAGGTGCTACTTTATAGGATGCGTAAAGTTAGACTTGTGTTCATGGAAATGTGTGTGTCACCTGTGTTTGCTATGAGGGTATTTGGATTGATTAGGGTCTTTGGTGATTCAATAAAATGTGGGGGTAACGGTATAGAAAGCAAACCATAGATACCAGAGACAGTGTGGGAGGAGAGCAGGAGGTGGCAGAGGGTAAGAGATAGGGAACCAAGGATGGGGGGAAAAAAAGCAAAACATACAGAAAACAAGAAATGGAAGGTCATTTGCTGACAATAACATGTTTGTTGATGTGCTTGATTGAGACAATATACAGTGTACTCTGGATGGAAAATCTCATTTTATATGCTGTAATGATGTACAGTGAATGAATGCAAATAAATAAATTGAAAAAAAATTAGAATAATAGTAATAATAATTGGGAAAATCATAAAAAAGATATTGAATGTTGAAGCAGGGAGATTACCGAGACGTCTCTGTATTGACTGACATGCATGGCATTCCCTTTTGAAAAAGCAATGTAATACACTGTAAAGTTATGTGTAATCCAATGTAATATAAACAAGATTATGATGATAATAAAAATTTTAAAAATTAAAAAAAAAAGAATTAATCATTTGATGGCTTCCCTATACACACTAGCAAATTTATTGGTTTGGGTTTATTTCTGGCCACAACCTCCTAAAAAAGGGAAGTTTAATATAGAGCTTCACCAAATATGTACTTTTGCTTCCTTTTGGACATACATTTGTTCTCTCCACTGTGCTCAGATACCAGTAAGGGTGTAAGAAGCAGATTTCATATTAGTAAATGAAAATAAAGCATTGAAGCATCTCTTAGGGGTTGATTTCATTCCTCTTATGGGAAATGAAGAGAAACAAACAGTTTGATGTGTTAAACCTATGTTTCTACATCACTGAACCAAGCGAAGAGGGAAATATGACTGGGGTAAGAAAGGAAAGGAGAGGATTCAACAATGAGGATGGGAACATAGACGACAACAAAAACCAAGACACCAGAGGAGGACCAAGTCGGAGCTGACGAGAATCAGTGAAGCAGCTTCTGAATACACTTAGGTTTCAGGATGAAGTGACTCTATAATTTATCCTGCAAACTAGAACATGGAGGCACTGTCAGTAATTAGAGTAGGGCGGCAGTGTAAACCAGGACCGCTCCGGGAGAATCAGGACCTACAATAATGATGTTCTAGAGGCTACCACTTCACTGACGGTGAAGACCGGTGCACACAGAACTGTGAACTCAGCCAATGAGCCGCCATTACTGAGCATCTGTAGAACACAGACAGTCCTAGGGTCTGGCATGTAGTGGCAACCGATGGCCCGCAGAAAACTTACAGGAGAGTCAGTGTGTGCATCAGCTTCATAGGGTCTCCTAAAGCCTCTGAAATTAGGTCAAATTAAAATCCCAATGCTAAGAGAAATATGAAAAAGTCGAGACAAGCCTTCTTTCTAAAGAAGTTTAGGATCTCATGAGAGAAAAAAAAGACTAACATAAAAAGTTAAATTTCTATGTAAGGCTTAAATATCAGTTTGAGGTAGATGTGGAAAAAAATGACTCAAGACAGGGCATAATTAGCTGACAATTACTAGTAGAAAACTCATGACTAAAGGAGTTGCTAGAGGGAGAAGTTCATTAAGTTGGGGCTGATAGTGGCTTTATGGAGAAGCATCTGTCTTGCGTCTTGAAGGCCAGGTCAGATTCGGGTAGATGGAGAAGTAGGAGAGATGTGATGTGAGAACCTGAGCTCAGAGACAGGAATATCGGCGCGGCATCTCAACCCTGAAGAGACAGGGTTGAAAGATGCTTGCATCTTAGAAACAGTTCCCGCAAATAGTTTTTTATCTTCTTAAAAGCAGCAGTAGACATAGCAGAACCCTCACCCCACTGCCACCATGACAACTTTCATCTGCAATGGAAAATGGTTGGGCAAATACCTGGCCACCTCCTACCTTTTCTATGTTTAGAGAGATTTTTGCTAAAGGGCACATATGCTCACCAGAGGGATAAAGAGATAAAGTGAGAAATCACTCCCTACGGGGACTGCCTTCTCCTACATTCTCCTCTTGGGATTTTGTGTACACATGCACACACCCCCAGTATGAGTTTCAAGTCTCTGGGTCTGGGACTTGAACCACAGTTGGCCACGTGCGAGTCTAGCACCTCAGCTACCATGCCACCTGCTGGCACCACCTCCTACCTTTTCCACAGCGCTGGTCACCTCCCAACCCTTTTTGGCCGCCAACTTTTTGAGAGCCTCCACGTTGCCATTACTCAGGGATGCCTAAAAGACATGTTTTTAAAGTTGTGTGTTTAATGTATAGATACGTATTCAAATCTTTTCTGCTTAGAAAATAGGCACTGTTAGAGGAAGTATATGCCAAACCAAAGTGACAATGTTGAGCTTATAACTCAGCACAACCAACATCTAAGTATATAATGGGGAAATTCTGTGGTTTCTAATTACCTTTGGAATTCAGATCAGGTAAACCTTGGCTTAGAAAGTGCGCATCATTTCTCTTTCTTAATTTTGCCAGAAGGCACGTGCACTCACCAGAAAGAAACAGAGAGAGGAGGGGAGTGAGAAAGCATCCCCCAGGAGAGAAGCATCCCTCTTTCTCCATTTCCCCCTCCTCTTCAGATTTTGGTGGGATCTGGCTGCCATAATTACCACACCATGGGCTAACTCAAGCAGCATTTTTTAACTGGTGTCCTGACCAGACAGAGTATCCTCGGGCATGATTTATGGTCAATGTCTAATGAGTAAACTTGGATTTCCCTTGATTGTTTTATTTCTATGACGTTCAAATAGCTTCTATTGGGCTGTTGGGAAAGTCAAGATGTATTTTTCTATGTTTTATGCAAATATGCATCCTGACTTTCCCGATGACCTAATACTTTGTTGCTTTTTCCTAAAAACAAGCCAGTGGGCCTGTCATTCAGCACAAATCATGGTAAGATACCAGCCGTCAATGTACCAGGCTGTGCACATCCATCGAGTGTCAGGGCGCCCTGAGTTCCTGGTTCAAGAACTGGACACAGAAGTCTAACAAGACACTGAGCACGTGGCTGCTGAGCAATCCCTCAGAGCTTGCTTTTGCTTCATTTTGACATGACTAGTTGCTATAATTTGCCTTTTCATCTAACCAGGAGAGCACAACCAGAATCGGTTAAATACAGGTTTTTCTGTTGTAATTATGTTAATTATATACAAAGAGTTCCAAATCACAGAAGTGTCACCTGCTTGCTTATATCCCAGTGTATGAGAAGTGGAACCTCTTCTTTGTGGGAAATAACATATTTTCTGGAAAGAAAAACGTGAAATGTCAGTTTTCTTCCCTGAATTTAGCACGCAACAATAACCATGATATTTTCTTGAACTGAAATAAATTTTTAAAGCTGCTTTTACTGGTAGACCAATAGGAGCAACCATTTTCATAAGTCATTAGTCATCTTTCAGAGTCAGGAAATGTCAGACCTTCTCTTGTTACATTATATGAAAAGCGACCCAGAGAGGGCTCTTCATTATACAGTGCGTTGGGTAAGAGAAGAGTCCATAAACTCCTCACACCCAAGGTCTCTTACCTGCCTAAGCGAATTCTCTTGCGTGCAACAGCTCCCCAATAGCGTCTATATTCATCCTTTAACAAGAAAGGAAAGTCAATAAACGTCTAATATTTTAGTGCTGCATCTTTAAGCATCCTTCTCCTAAGGCAGGCGAAAAGGCTAGCTGGGATCTGGAGCCTCTGTGTGAACTCTTCATCAATCAGAGCCTCTGTGTTGAATCCACGAAGAGCAGTGGCAGGGATAGTGCCACCTTTACCACTATTTCTTTCCTTTCGTAAAGAGATTAGGATCATTTCCGACACCAGATTTATACATTGGTCTCACTACAGAGTTTGAACGTTGGTAATAGAGCAATTCCAGGATAAGGGAAGGACAAGGTTCCAATAAATGTAGCACAGGGTAGAGAACCGGATGTGAGGAAGAGAAGAGATTCAGAAAGGAGTGTGCACGGTGGTCCGCCACCCACAGCATCATGGGGCTGATAGAGATGAGGCCTTTAGGACTGCCATCATTTCAGTAAATGATTAAAGTGATTTGGGAAAAGTAAACAAAATTTTTTTTTTTTTACTTGTCACACAGAAAACAAAATGAAAGGGAAATAGCGAAATAGCTGTAGAGGGTGTTGCTGGTGGGAGGAGATGCTGGATAGAGCTTTTTACTGACAGGTCTAATCACTGGACCTTCTTTAATAATGACTGACCTTTGAAATGGGTTTGATTCTGGGAAACGTGATGAGTTCTCCCTTATCATCGACGGCATTATAAATCAGGAAAGCACTGTTGATGTGACGGCCTCGTCCCTTGGACCATTCCTGGCAGTCAAAGGCCTCCACACGCACTCCAACTTCGACACTGCAGGGGAGATGCGGGCCGTGGGCAGAGAGCCAAGGCTCAGTAGGCCTCCCCTGCCCACCCACCACTACCCCACCAGGCAGCAGGAGAAGGAGACTTCTAGTCTCTCTTCTTTGTCATTAGCAAATCTTTGCAGTTATTAAAATCCATTTTCCAGTCAATGGATCAGTTTGTACAAGCCTCTGAGAGCGTTTCCACTTCCAAGTGAGATAAAGGCCACTTGGAGCTTTATGTACATTCATGAATATATTTTGTTAAAGGGGGAGGGATTAAATTGTGCCAAAGTCATATTTTCTTCCCTAAAATCAATAGTTCTGTAATTAAAAAGAATCAAACACTGAAAATAGACAGGAAATAGAATCTTTTTTCTTTTTTACTTTTAAAAGAAAAAAGCACTAAATCATTAAATCATTTTATTCTGTATGAAGAATAATTAAAATAATCACAATGTGGTTTAGACTTCATGGTGGCAAGTAACAGGACCTTGGGCCAACTGGGACATGCAACCAACCTCATGAGACAAAAATCAACCATCATAATTTACATGGCATGAGGAGACCCTAAGCAGAATGGAGGGTTCAAATTTATGTCCATGGATTTTTGAAGATTAAATGTTGTTTTAAACAGTTAGAAGGAACTTGGTTATTTTCAAGTACTGTAGTCCCTACACTTACCCTCAGATTGAAATAAAAATTAAAAATCATATATGTGTGGCCAGCTGGAGACATGGTGATTAATGTGGCTGGATTCCACACAGCTAACTGCACAGATTCAGTACCAGATCTGGTGGCTCGAAAAGCATGGCAGCATGGTGTGCGCATGCCCAAAATCTCAAAAGGAGGGAAAAACGGAGAAGAGATTGTGACATGACCATGAACCACCGGGGGGTACTTTCTCACTTTCCTTCTATATCTCTTTCTGGTGAGTACATACACCCTCTGGCAAATTAAAAAAATAAATTATAGGGACCAGCAGTTGGCATAATGTCTATGTCACTGGATTCCCATGTAGTCAACTGTGGTTCAAGTCCCGGACCCGGTGGTTTAAACTCACACCAGGTGCGTGTGTGTGCATGCCCAAGATCCCAAGAGGAGAATGGAGAAGGGATTACGGTGTGACCATCCCCCCTGGGGGGGGTGATTTCTCACTTTCTGTCTCTCTGTTTTTCTGGTGAGTGCACATACTCTATAGCAAAACAACTCTCCAAAAAAAGTTATATATATACAAACATATATATATATATTTGAAAACATATATATAATATATAATATATATATATGATTAAGCTTTTTTTTAACAGCCTAACAGCACACTTTACCAGGTCTGAAATGTATTGTTGACAATGGCATTGAAGACAAGACGGTCCCCAACTGTAGATGGTCCCCGAAACTTGAACATGTCCACAGACTTCAGAAAGGGATGTGCCCAACACAGGCGGCTGAAGAAATAAAGGGAAGGAAAGAGAAGAAAGCTATCATCTTCCAAAATGTTTTCATCAACTACTGATTTGTTGAACGGATGTGACGGAAAAGTATTCAACCTGTTTTCTAAATAAATATCCCTTTTACCTCGAGTAAAATAAGTAACTGGATATTGTGTGTTGAGAATGGTTCTGTATAATACCTGCAAATATCTAGGAAAATACCATGTCTGTGAGCAACAGGGTCTTTACCAAGATGTTTGCTATTGTCTCACTCCCTAGGGAAGGCACGCCAAAAAACAAAAGAAAACAAAACAAAACAAAACAAAACCCAATGGCTTTTGTTCTAAGTTGAGGTTGTTATTCATCCTCACAGCTCATGACTATAGTCCCAGGAAGCTGTATCTTCCAGCTGGCACCAGGATGCAAGGGAAGGCAAGTGCCACCTGGTGCCATGGACACCCCTTCCTCAGTCTCTCAGGTGACCAAATGCCCACACAGGTCAACAGACAAGTCTCTGCCCACAGAAGAGTTAACCGGGATCACTGCACAAAGCCTGAGAAGCTCCATTTTACAATTTTTATGTGTATGAAGTTTTGAAATAATTACAAAGAATAGTACATTTTAGAAAGTTACTTCCATAATTTTCTACATTTTCTATTCCTACTGTTATTCAATTACACTAAAGAATGGCGCCAACACTAAGCGAAAGACTATGCCATAGTTCATTATATTGTTAGCCTTTACATAATAGAAAATGTTCAAACGCTTTGCTGTCATTAAAAATGACAACGTTCTTTAAAAAACAAGCTGTCTTATTTGTGCATAATTTATAGAAAGGATAACCTCAAGTTTCTAACTATAGTCATAATTATAGACATATTAATAATATTTTTTATTGAGGGAAATAAAACCTTAACAATTTTTGGCAATTACAAAAATTGTCAGAAGGAGATCCTATTCAAATGCATTTTAAGAGTACATGGTGTTCCTTAAAGCTATCCAATTACCTACATGGTTCCAGTAAGAAAGAATAAAATAACCATTTTGCATGTGAGTTCATTTAACATATTCTTCCAAGTATTCCCCTCTTTCTCTTCTTTCTTTTTCAGTTAATTCTTTGGCTATAATGATTTTAGCCAGCACCTTCAAAGGTCAGATCTAATTGTAAATTGTCTTTTAAAAGGCTTACAACGAGACTATTTTTGAGTCTAAATGCTGTCTTCTATTTTTATTCTGTGCCTTCTTTGCCAAAAACTATTGTCACAACAAGTAGCAAGGTCACAGGATCAATGTTCATATTTTAAAATAAAGCCTGAAAACTATCATTTCATTTTTATTCCTGAACCAAGAATTTTTTTTAAAAAATTTTTATTCATTTATTTTATTTTACTTTATTTTATTTTGAATTTGACCAGAGAGAGACAAAGAGAGAGAAGGAAAGTGAGAAAGCAAGCTGCCAGGTCCAGGACTCGAACCATGGTTGGCCATGTGGGATTCCAGCTGCCTTAACCACCATGCCGCCTGCTGGCCCCTGAGCCAAGAAATTTAACCATGCATCTTTAAACAAAAGGGAAGGTTAATCCTAAGGCAAGTAAGTCAATTATTTCTAGTTTTGTTTTTCCACTTAGATTTAGGCCTCTGTCCTTTCTGTGGCTCCTGGACCAGACCATAGTTAGGTCTCAGACCCTTTCTATTTCCTCCCACTTCTCCCACAATCACATGCCAAAGATGAAAACCAAGAACCTGGCTGAAATAGTGGCCACTGTCTCCATCCAAGCCATGATCTGGCCACCAAAGGTATTTCCATGATGGTTTGCATGAGGTGGGAGGACGAGTTCAATGCTCTGGACAGCGGTGCCCCTTGTAGAGACTGTTCCTTCCTCTTCATCACAAACGGGATCTGAAAGGCAGATGGAAACATTAGTTTTGCAGGAGCAGGTGGGGTTCAACCGTGAGACCTGGGGCTATGGCTTTTCCTTCCCAACAGCACACTCAACGCTGGGATTGTTAGAAAAATTAAATGACTCTCAAAAACTTACAACTGATGAAGTAAACAGGCTCTACAGAGGAGCTTTCATCTAAATGGTGAATATTTTAAAAATAGCTGGCTGACTGAATTGGGTTAAGGTACAGATCAGAAAGGGGCTATTAGGAATTGTATTCCAATCTGTCTACTAAGGCCACTGGAATTTCGATTAAAAGAATGGTTACTGGTCAGCTGCGGTGATGCAGCAGGAACGCAATGCTTAGTGATACTGAAGCCACGTGGGAAGCTCGCAGGTTCGCACAGTAGGTCTGCCTGTACGTGCTGGGTGTGCTCGCGTGCCCGCGATCCTGGCTGGTTGAGACTGGGGAAGGGTTGCAGCATGGAGGCTCTGTTGGGGGTTATGAGTTTATCAGAATCAAATTGTAATCCTTTGTGTCAGCCCTGACTTAACCGAGCTGGGAAGACCAGGAGGTGTTTTCTCAGGTGGGTATGCCTGGGAATGAGATTCTGCCAGACCGCACATTGCACAAAGACCACTCTGACCTGACGACTTCATCAAGGACATTTGCAGAGGGACTGCCTGTCCAGACTTGGACCGACTCCACTCTTCTTATCGATCTTGGTAGCTGAGGGTAATTATCCCAAAACCAATAGTGTAATTTTCTCCCACTCCGACTTGTGGTCTTTGCCTTTGAAGCCTGTCTGAGGATTTTAAGACTTTGGTGAGCATTTTCAGGGTTTATACAGGCTACAATGCCACTGCAGTCTTCGTGCTTATGCCCACTTAAACTTTTGCTTTACAGATTTTGACTCAGTTTACCTTTTAAGGCGAACAGAGTACCTCCTCTCCCCCATATAGGAGAAATAAATAAACAAACTGAAAACAAAACAAAAAAAATGGTTACATGTAAACTTGAAGAGTTTGGGGTGGGAGAAGGGTAGATCAGGACCAGAAGGGGTAGAAACTCAGGAGATGAGGGTTAAATTACGATCTCAATGGTGGTGCTGATTCCCCAGGTGTAGACTCATGTCAAACTTATTAGATACTATGCTTTAAATACAGGCCATTCATCGTATGTCAGTTACGTTCCAATAAAGTTGTTGAAAATAAAGGAGTAGAGTTTTGAAGGACTGCAGACACTGAGCTGTCTGGAACACCATAAACTTCGAAGTGGAGATGTGGCCTCCTGCAGCAACTCTTACAATGAAAACAGGAACAGAAGAGACACAATACACTGTACTTCCTGAGGTTCATCTACTTCTTTTCTTGTATCATATCTGCTTCATTTACTGACAAATTGGTGTCTACCCTCAACAGTGGAGAAGTCATTTACTCTGGCTACAAGGCAGTAACGTGGATTCCATTATGCTTCCTGCCTCACCAAGAAATCACCAGCCAGCTGAAACCTCGTGTTGCTGTCACTGTTGGAGAATTGGGGGTGGGTTACAAGGCAGGGAGACCCTCCTGGTTGTACTGAGATGCACAGCCGAGCTGGCGACAGCAGAGCGAAGTACACCTGGCTGCTGTAACAGGAAACGGGCTCTTTGTGAAGTCATATTAGGTGGTCAGGAAATGTGGTAAGAGAACTTTTAACTATTTCCTAATGGAATTTTTAGATTTATAATTAATTGATGCTCTTTTGCTTGGATTTTTTCTCATGTCTCCATCAATCATTGTAGTGCCTGGTTTAAAACTTGTTAGTAACTTCACGTAATTCTAATATAAAACCCCTAGTCCTTCCCTCTAAGCCCTTCATCATGGTCTGGTCTGCCTTCCTCTCCTGCACCAGCAGGTCTGATTGCCATGAATTCATCCACTTCACTTCCCCACCTATTCTTTTAGCTTTTTTTTTTTTTTTTTAGAGGTTTTTGCTATAGGGCGCGTGCGCTTGCCAGACAGAGAGAGACAGAGAGACAGAAGGTGAGAAATCACCCCCCGGGGGGATGGCCACGCCACAATCCCTTCTCCTCCATTCTCCTCTCGGGATCTTGGGCACGCACGCACAAGCGCCTGGAGTGTTTTAAGCCACCGGGTCTGGGATGCGAACCACGGTTGACTACGTGGGAGTCCAGTGACATAGCCATTACTCTAACTGCTGGTCCCTCCCCCGCCTATTCTTGCTTGCTCACTTTCTCCCTTGCTCCAGCCACACTGGTCTTTCAGTTCCTCCAGGAAAGTGTTTGTCATTAATGTCAGGGGCATTTGCGCATCTCCTCTCTCTCCACAGCAATCCCCCAGCCAACACCACCACTCTCTTCCTCTTCACTCCTCTCCCGACTTGCAGTTTGTCACAGCCCATCTTAGCCACTTCTTCAGGAGAGCCTTCCCTGACATCACAGCTAAGCCCACTACTCTGAGGTCCTGTATACACCTTCCTTTTGTGAAAACAGTTTTATGTCCGGGACCAGCAGGTGGCATGGTAGTTAAGGTGCTGGACACTCCCACATGGCCTACCACGGTTCGAGTCCCGGACCTGGTGGCTTGTTTTCTCACTTTCCCTCTCTTTCTCTCTCTCTCTCTGTGTCTCTGTTCAAATTGAAATAAATGAATGAGTAAATAAAACTAAATAAATAATTCTAAAAATATATATAAAAAAACAGTTTTATGTTCGTGCAATTGTTTATTATCTGATCCACTAGCTCCAGAGCTCGTAGAGGCAGAATCTACGACTTTTTTAAGCTAATATAATTCCTGGACATAAGTGCTCAATACGGAATGTGTTAAATGAATCAATGAATGCATGAACGAACTTTGCTGACGTACTTCATATTCCAAGCCCTTACTCTAAGAGAATATTTTAGGTAACAAATTGGTTGTTCTACCTTACACTGCTGTCTGCTGCTTATGAAAATCCCCACTGCTCCCCATTTTTACTTAAACAGTATGACTAGTTGCTCAATTTATTTTTCCAGTTCAGTGGATATGAAATAGTTTCTGATGTTGGTATAATTTCCAAATCTTTCTTTTCTTTTCTCTTTTCTTTTCTATTCTTTTTTTTTTTTTTTTAGAGAAGTTTTTGCTACAGGGCGTGTGCATTTGCTAAAGAGACAGAAAGAAAGAAACCGAGAAATCACCTTCCAGGGGGATGGCCATGCCATAATCCCTTCTCCTCCATTCTCTCCTTGGGCTTTTGGGCACATATACACACACACCTGGAGTGAGTTTTAAGCTGCCGGGTCAGGGACTTGAACCTCAGTCGACTATGTGGGAGCCCAGAAACATAACCCTGATGCCATCTGCTGGTCCCACATTTATTTCTCTGATTATTAATAAAGTACAACATGTTTGCATCTCTATATTGAACATTCTTGTTACCTCTTAGTGATGATTCTCTGCTTCATTTTTAAAATTATTGCTAAAAGGCACATGTACCTGCTAGAGAAAGAGAGAAAGCAAGCATCTCCCCACTCCTTTAATGGAGCATGCTTATGCTGCAATTCTTTTTTTTCTCCATTTCTCCATCCCATCAGGATTTAGGGCATACACAGACACACACACACACGAGTGTGTGCTTGGCATGTTTTCCAAGATGTGAGTGCTGGGACTCAAACAGCAGTGGGCCCAAGTGGGATCCAGCTCCCTGTGCACAGCACCTAACCTCTGTGCTATATGGCCAGCCCTCTTTGTGTGATTTGCTTCAAATATTACATCTTGCCTACTCCTGGAACTTTGATTAGATCCTGTCCGACTTCTTACTGCAGTCTGTCTCCTAACTCCTCTTACATAGTTCCCATTTCTCTGCCTACCTGGCCGTATCTATTAATAGGTAATTCCTTCAGATCTGTCTTCCAGTTTGCCTTCTTAGCTCCTGTCTAATTCATCTGTTGAGTTTTAATTTTAAATGATTATATATTCTTTAAAGTTTATTTATTTACATCTTCCATGAGAAAGAGAGAGAGAGAGACATTCCAAAAGAGTGCTCATTCTGCAACCTATACCCAGAGTTAGCTAGCCCAGATCACGAGCATGCACATGCACCTGGCATACAAAGGAGGCTCCAACCTGAAATCCCAGGCCTTCCCACTGGCTCTAGTAGCATTGCTGCTGTGCTACTATCTGGCCCCTTTCTATTCTTTGGCTGTAGATACTCTCTTTGTTTGTCATGCCCTCTAAGCCATCTTTGGGACCTGCATCATACTTGTGATACTCTCTTACTTCCCAAAACATGCTAACATTCTTATTTCATATTCTTTACATAATATATTAGGTATCTGCAGTCTTTGTGGATCTCATTCAGACTTTGTCACTGGTGGGTCTTAGTGCCATGTTTATTTTTGTCGTTCATTAGTTTTGACTAGGATCTCTTATTGCTTGGATCTTTTTTGTGAGAATTTTTTTTTTTTTGAGAGGTTTTCGCTATAAGGGCGCGTGCGCTTGCCAGACAGACAGAGAGAGACATAGAAACAGAAAGCGAGAAATCACCTCCCAGGGGGGATGGTCACGCCACAATCCCCTCTCCTCCATTCTCCACTCGGGATCTTGGGCACGCACGCACACGCACCCAGCGTGAGTTCCACGCCACCAGGTCCGGGACACAAACTGCGGTCGACTACGTGGGAGTCTAGCGACATAGCCATTATGCTAACTGCTGGTTCCCTTCTGTGGAAATTCTTGAGAGCCAGGTTGGAAGTCATTTTTTCACAAAGGATTGGCAGTTGCTGCCGAAGATTAGCTATGGATACAATGACACAGTGCCACTTTACAGGTAAGCTCACTTTATCTGTTTCTACCCAAGTAGGTCATATGAACTCTAACACCAGATCTGCATGAGGATGCACTTGTAACTGAATTCTCAAAGAGAAACATTTTATCTTCATTCTTCCTAAGGCTAAAGCTGAGACAGAAAAGCATCTCTCCTAGAGTTCTCTTAAGGGTAGAATCTTTGCAGTTGACTCTGAGGGTATCATTTTCT